TTGTGTACCGGGAGTTTTTTGATTACTGCTTCAATTTCACCAGCTGTTATCGGTCTGTTCAGGCTTTCTGCTTCTTCTTCATTCAGTGTTGGAAGGTTATATTTTTCTAGAAATGTGTCCATTTCATCGAGGTTTTCAAATTTCTTGGTATATAATTGTTCATTGTAATTTCTTATAATCCTTTGTATTGCTGTGGTATCAGTTGTTATTTCTCGTCTTTCATTTCTGATATTATTTATTTGGGTCCTCTGTCTTTTTTTTCCTTGGCGAGTCTGCTTTAAAGGCTTGCTGATTTTGTTTACCTTTTCAAAGAACCAGCTCCTGGATTTGTTGATCCTTTCAATTGTTCTTTTCCTCTCTATGTCATTCACTTCTGCTCTGATCTTTATTATTTCCTTGCTTCTACTTGCTCTGGGCTTTCTTTGTTGTTTCTCCAGTTCTTGAAGCTGTAGGGTTAGGTCATTTATATGAAATGTTTCTATCTTTTTTAGGTAGGCTTGTGTTGCTATGAACTTCCCTCTCATGACTGCCTTTGCTGTGTCCCATAGGTTTTGTACTGTTGTCTGTTCATTTTCCTTTGTTTTCAGAAACTTTTTGATTTCTTCTTTGATCTCATTATTGACCCATTCATTGTTTAATAGCATGCTATTCAGTCTTCATGAGTTTGAATGTTTTTGAGTTTTTTCCTTAAGATTGTTTTCTAGTTTCAAGCCCTTGTAGTCTGAGAAAATGCTTGTTATGATTTCATTTTTCTTGAATTTCTTGAGGCTTGTTTTGTGTCCTGTCATGTGGTCTATCTTTGAAAATGTTCCATGCACATTGGAAAATAATGTGTATTTTGCTTTTGCTTCTTTGGGATGAAAGGTTTTATATATATCATTTAAGTCCATTTCATCTAATGCTTCATTCAGTTCTACAATATCCTTGTTGATGTTTTGTTTGGAAGATCTACCCATTGTTGACAGTGAAGTGTTAAAATCCCCTACTATAGGGATGTTGCTTGCTATATTTTTCTTAAAGTCCTCCAAGATTTTCCTTATGTATTTGGATGCTCCTGTGTTGGGTGCATATAGGTTTACAATGTTTATGTCATATTCATGGATTCTTCCTTTGAGTATTATAAAGTGTCTGCTTGAGTCTCTTTTTATGGCCTTTGCTTTGAAATCTATTTTGTCTGATATAAGTATTGCTACCCTGCCCTTTTTATTCCTGTCCATTGTTTGTAATATTTTTTTCCATCCCTTTACTTTCAGTCTGTGTAGGTCCTTTGTTCTGAGGTGAGTGTCTTGTAGGCAGCTTATGTGCTGATCATATTTTCTTATCCATTCAGCTAACCTATGGCTTTTGATTGGAGCATTTAATCCATTAATATTTAAAGTCATTATTGATAGGTACTTATTGATTTTTTTTCCCTTTGTACGTGTGTTCCTCTCTTTCTCACTCTTTTTCTTCATCTTTTTAAAGCAGTCCCTTTAGCATATCTTGCAGTGCTGGTTTGGTGAAGGTCTATACTTTTAGCCTTCTTTTGTCTGGGAAACTCCTTATTTCACCTACTATTGTATTGAGAGCCTTGCTGGGTAGAGCAGTCTTGGTTGCAGGCCTTTGTTTTTCATGATTTGGACTATTTCTTGCCATTCCCTTCTGACTTGTAGTGTTTCTATTGAGAAGTCAGCTGCTAGCTGTATCCAGGCCCCCCTCGTATGTTACTACCTGTTTCTCCCTTGCTACCTTTAGGGTACTCTGTTTGTTTTTGATATTTGCCATTTTAATTATTATGTGTCTCAGAGTGGGCCTCATTGGGTTCCTCTTGAATGGAACCTTCTGTGCTTCCTGGACTTGTGTGTCTTTTTCTGTCCTCAAACTAGGATGTTTAATATCATTATTTTTTTTTAACATATTCTCTATCCTTTCCTCTTCTCCTTCTGGTATCCCCATTATACGGATATTATTACGTTTCTGGTTGTCCTGCATTTCCCTAAATGCCTCTTCATTCTTTTTGAGTTTTTATTGATTTTCTTGCTCTTTCTGGGAGGTTTGTTCTACCTTGTTATCCAGCTCGCTGATTCGATCCTCTGCTTCATCTAGCTTGCTTTTGATTTCTTCTACTGTGCTCTTCAATTTAGAAATTGTATTCTTCTTTCTTCTTGCCTATTATTGATAGTTTCTATATCCGTTTTCATGCACATATAGTTTTCAGTAAGTTCTTTGTAGTTTCCCTGTGGTTTTTTGTAATTCTCTCTGAACTCACTGAGCTCATTGAGCTTCCTTAGAACCATTGTTTTGAACTCAATATCTAATAGTTTACTTGCCTCTATTTCTTTTAGTTCCTTTTCTGGGGTTTCATCCATTCCCTTCGATTTAGGGGGTGTTTCTCTTTCTTCCCATTATATGTGAGACTCTTCTCTTCTGCTTCTTCTTCTTAAGTTGATCTGTCTTGATTTCCTGACTTTGTGGTATGAACTTCTATGGTAGGAGACTGCTGTTTTTTCTTTCTGGGTCTGTCTCTGATGAAGTCAGATGTTGACCCTGTCTGACCTTAGGCAGTCTGCTTGAGACTTCCAGGAATCTACTATCTGTGACTGTCTCCTTCAGTTGTTAATCTATTCACTCTGTACTCAGTAGTCAGGCTTGTGTATCACCAGGCCGGGGCAGAGTCCCTCCTGGTAGCAGGGTTATTGGGTCCTCTCAGGCTGATGCCACTCAGGGCAGTAGTCTACTTTAGCAAGATGGCTGCTGCCATATGGGAGAAGAGTCAGCACCAGGATCCCAACAGCTACTCTCTCAGTTCTCTCCCCAAAGCCTCTGTCTCCAGTCTCTCCTCAGGTGTCTCTAGACCACTCTGTGCCCCCTTTAGCCAGTGCTCTACTATCTCTGACTGCCACTCTGTACTCAGCAGTCAAGCTTAAGCACCACCGGGCCAGGTCAGAGCCTCCTGAGGGTGGGGCTATTGTGTTCTCTCTTGCTGTTGCAGTTCAGGGTGATGGTCTGCCTGAGCAAGATGGCCGTTGCCACATGGGCATGAGTCAGCACCAGGACCTCACCAGCTCTCCCCACAAAGCGTCCCTCCCCAGTCTCTCCTCAGGTGTCTCCAGCCCACTCTGCCCCCACCTTTCCCGGAGCCCAGGGTAAGTGGCTGCAAATAAAAATTTATGTATTGGCCCTTTAAATGGCTCTTTGCATCTCCAGCTGCCTGTCTCTGGCAGAGGGCAACTCTGCCACTTTTCATAGCTGGCTGTTTTCTGTGTACTTTTGGGACTCTGGTGCTGTAGGCTGGAGATCCCCACTTATGGCTCAGACCCTACTCTTCTCAGGGGTATCCAACTGGCCATTTAAATGTCCCTCTGTTGCTGCCAACCGTGGACTCTCCACCTGCCTTCTCAAGTCTCTACCGCACTACTTGCCAGTCAGGTTGTGCTAAAGCTGATTCTTCTGTCTGTCCAAGGTTATGAGTCTCCTCTCTCACTATTGTTCAGTTGTTTGTTCCAGGTGATTTCTCCACCATTTAGTTGTAATTCCAGATTGGTCCTGGGAGGAGGTCAGTGTGACTTCCATTTACTCCTCCACCATCTTGCCCTCTGTTTCTTCATTTACAATAGTTATAGCTTTTATTTTTGTTTAATTTCTGTTTCTTATTCTTCTTGCTAGGATTCCCAACACAGTATGAAATGAAAGTGTTAACCCTTGTTTTCTTCTACATTTTAAAAGACTCATTTCTAACATTTCATCATTAAGTATAATATGTATTATAGGTGTTCTATGTATTCTTATGATCAGTTCAAGGATGAGCCCTCCTAATCCTAATTAGCTAAAATGTTTTATTTATTTGTTTTTATCATGACTGGATTTTTTAATATATATTAAAATTTTTATATCAGAATCATTTTACACCTATGGAAATGATTATTTTTCTTTTCCTCATTAAATATGATACATTAGGTAAAATTTTAAATTTTTGCCAGTCATTACTGCTTCAGAAAAGTTTCTATATAATATTTAGCATTTTTGGGAAAAGAACACCAAATGGGTAAGATCCAGAAATAACACCCACCAAAAAAGCCCAGAAAAGCATTGTCACAGAAGAGCAGAGAGAATGTGACACCATTCAGGAACAATGGGACACTCAGGGGCTCAAGGAATACATTAATTACCTGAGCCCATGGGGCTTTAGAGAAAATAGAGACAGAAGACCAGATATATGTGTAATGGTAGAAAAAGAAAAGTGATAGTATAGGGGTGTGATTATTTAGGTAACATAAAAAGTGTTTTTTTTTTTCTCTCAGATACCAAGAGATAGGAAAATGGATAAAATAAATATGCTTGTTCACAGAGGGGCCCCATTATATGAAGAAAGAGAATAATCTTCAAAAGTTGATAAAAAGATATTTAGTTCAATTGTGGAAACCTGCTTCCTTACATACAATATAATTAACTAGTGAAATCAGTTATCACCAAGTATTAGCTTAGATTCAAAATAACTGCACAGTTTAATGAACACAGCTAAACACAGAGCTAAATGAGACTGTTTTTGACCTGGTGAGACACTCTCTTACCACTCCTCAGTCCTTTGTTGAGCACAGAGAACACCACTTGACGATTGATGGCTTTAGTTTTCCTCTCTTGGGAAAGCCTTGAGAGAGGTGTGTCTTTCTCCCTGCCTTCTCCTTTGACTTCCCATATACTCTCAAACATCATCTGTTTAAATTACTAATTTTTTTAAAAGATGGCCTTGATCTCTGTCATTTGTCGTTATTAAGTACAGCAAGGGGAAGTACCACAAATAGAAAAGGGCAGCATTTGGAACTGTTTAAAAGTTCTGTAAGCACCAGTGAGGGCAGCTACAGAAAAGAACATTCCATCCACCTCTTGTTTGTTGCTTTCACTCCAGGTTTCCATGCAGATCAGATAGAGAGGCAGCCCCAGGAGCACAGCAAGGCCCATGCACACGGAACCAATTTGCCTTTTTTTTTTGGCCTAAGTTAAAATTTTGATTGTTCTTTCAGATTATGTAGATCCAGACATATTTTATGCAGTCATCCGGATCTTTCTCTCTGGGTAAGTATAGTTCAGTTCTGTTTTCTTGTATGAGGCCTTTGTAACATTTTCCAAATTTATGGGGTTAGAAACCGACATATAATCTTCCTAGAGTAAGAAACACACCAAGTAACTCTTGTTAGCAAAGTAGTCACTTGGATCTGCTCTTGGTTAAAAGAAGAGGGGTACCACCTGCATGACAAATGACATTAAAAGTTGAATATTTAAGTTTAGAGTAGTTGTCTTCAGGTTATCACATTATTTTTATTGGTCTTTACCTTTCTTAGAACGCCACCTTGATGGCAGAAAGAAAGAAAAAAAAAAGCTGAGTATGTCACCCTCAAAGCTCAACCATTTATATTCCCTTGTTATTGAGACAGATGGAGGTATAGACAGTAGCTTGAAAGCTTTCTTATAACATTCCTAAAATAGCTGCCCCAAACCATTTTCTCACATTCTGTGTACTCTCGTTTTTGTCACATTGTTAGGTAGGATAGATAGTAGACTGAGGCAGGGAGGGGGAGGAAGGCATGTCTCACTTACTGACTCAGCGGTCCTGATCCTGGTCCGATAAGATTGCCAGGTATTCCAACATCACCAGAAACACCAAGCTAGTACAGGACGGGGGGAGCCCTTGAAATTCTGTATGTGCATGTCCACTGTCTGGGAAAGAAAGCCTTTGAAACTATGAGTTCATCCCAAAGTCTGGAAGTGGGAAGAGGAGGGGGTCACAGTGCCCAAAGGAAAAGCTCATAAAGTGGCTTTGGTGAATTGCCTACCTCTGGTCACTGTTTTACAAGGGTGTCCCTAGTGCTTCAGAAAGAGCCCATAAATCACTGGGTAACTGGCCCAACTTTAACTAACTGCCCCCTGTCATGTATGTGTTTTATAACAAGATGACCAAAAGTGGTCTGGAGCAAGATAAGAATTCTGGGAAAAAGACCCCGACATGTACCTACTTTTCAGTAGTCACATCCCTCAGGGGACGCTGACACCACCATTACCCACCAATCAATATGTAACTTCACCCTGCCATCTATATAAATCCTCAGGACAAAGGCCCCGATGCTTTTTGTCACCCAAGCCTGGGCCCTTTCACCCCCACCTTGGCTAGGCCTCTTCTCTTCCATGAGAACTATCACTAAAAAACTTTGCTTGCATGCTAACAGACTTGCTGTTCTGTAGTAATTCTTTACTGTGTCAGCAAAAAGAAGCGAGTTTTCCCTGTAACAGCATGATCTGTAATTTCTCCAAAAAAGGAACTCTACTCGTAGATCTGTTTTCTATTTTACATATACTCATCGTACGTTGACAATCTTTAATGAGATCGCTTTCCTAGTCACTGTAAGAAATTGAGTTTGTTTGTTTGTTTGTTTTAATGGTGAAAAGTGAAAGATGCAGGTCATGGATGGATGAGATAAAAATGTGCAATCAATATTATCTAGTGTGCCATATGTATACCTAGGACATGAATGAAGTATTATTGACAGAAAGAATCTAAAGCTGTGCCTGGATGTAACAAGAAACATGCCAAACACCAAAATCAATAAACTTATTGATTTAGTGGTATAATCCATGGGTACAAAAAGAGTGACAACATTAACTAATTATTTTCTATAGGTTGGGTTGGTCTAGAGTGTGAGGAAGTGACTTCCCTCTCTAAGGGAGGCTGGTCTGGGTGGGGCTTCCTCATTGGAGGGTGCAGAGAGTAAAAGCAGGAAGGTTTCTATGGAATAATTTGAAAGTAATGGGTGTCTGGCTTATAGGGAAAAAAGGGAAAAAGGGGAAGGTGACAGATACCGAGTTGGGAGTGTGTCTTTCCCTCCTGAAATGCTCTCCAGAGAGGTTACCCGACAGAGCTCTTCTTGTTCTCTGTATGATTTTCATGTGCCCAGGGCCAAGACAAGATCTGAGTATAGGAAAGGGATTCAAGCAACAGATATTAAGCAAACCATGGAGATATGCTTTGGTAGGATTAGACAAAAGAAAAAAAAACCATTTGAAAATGTTTTTTAAATTATATTTTATTGATTAGGCTATTACAGTTGTCCTGAGTTTTCCTCTTTGCCCCACTCCACCTGCAACCCCCATTCCCTCAGGCAATCCCCCCACCGTTGTTCATGCCCATGGGTCATGCATATAAGTTCTTTGGCTTCTTCATTTTCTATACGGTACTTTGCATTCCCATGGCTATTCTGTAACTACCTTCGTAAGATTAAGAACTATTTGTACTTCTTAACGCTCTCGCCTCTTCACACATTCCCTCGCAGCCCCCTCCCATCTGGCAACCTTCAGAGTGCTCTCCATAGCTATTGTTTTCATCAAACTAAGTTCCAGGTCAATGACACATTTCATCTGTCATATACATAAATGCCTCCCCTCTGTTTCTTATCCTCAAAATATTTCCCATGTAGCTAAACTAAGTGACCAGTATCAAATCCTAAGTGTATTGATAAGTACAGATGACCAAAAACATCTGGCTTGTTGGCAATTCCCAATAGGGCTGTCTTGAAAAATCTAAATCTGCTCCTCTGTTCTTTATTTGTCCTATGTTTGATTTATTATTTTTGTTTACTTTTTAAAACATTTTTATTTAGGAGAATTGAGAGATTTCATCTGCAGATGAAACATATTCCCTTTATCTCCCACTCACATTAAATTTCTCAGGGAAGTTAATATTCCCTGTGGGGGGGGGGGAAGACATCTCATTTCTTTTTTTTTTTTTTTCCTTTTAAATGTTCTGCTTTTATTGGGTTTGCTAGAAATATGCTACCAGAAAGACTAAAAATAGTCTTGCCTACAGAGGTTTGAAAGAAAAATAATTCCTTTCTTTCATAAACAGCAGTTTGGGCCTGAGAATTCATGGGAGCAATCCTTGGGTTTTTCAGAGGAACTCAGTTTTCCTTCCACAGACTATTGTCATCATCAGGGGAGAATATATGGGTTTTGAAAGTAGATACGCTTCTCTTACTCTTTTGACTTTCATGCTGGTATTTCCTCTGACACCTTCTGTGAGACTTCAACAGGTCTTCCCCAGGTTGGGGCTCTAATACAAGACTCATTGACACCTTGACCTTTTGAGCATTTGATAACTCTTTTAAGCTGGCCAGGTCTTTTTAAGAAGTACACTTGGGTCTACATATTCTAATTATATAATATGTAATTATAAACTGCTAACATTTTATTCACTCATTCATCAGCTATTTAATGAGTGCTTACTATATGCTGGGCACAGTTCTAGGTGCTGGCAATGAAAATAAAACAAAACATTCTTTCATTTCTTCATTTCTATGGAACTTACATAAATTTTAATGATGAGCGGCAGATGAAGAAATATATGTAACAAGTTCAAGCATCCTACAAGATACGTTACAACAATAAGCAATATGAGGAAATGTGAAGTGGGATACAGGGCACGATGGGGTGGTAGGGTGGGGGCCGAAGTTTCTTATTTATTTACTACGATCTGGGAGTGCCACACTTCTAAGGGATGTTTATGCAGATACCTGAAGAAAGTGAAAGAAATTACAGTGACCCTGAAGTGACAGCATATCATGAAGGAGGAGCTGCAACGAGGCCAGCAGTGCGTGAATGGAGTAAATATTGGGTAGAATGAGAAAGATCACCTGAGAGTGGAGGACTAGCTCATATAGGGTCCTGTTGGCTTCTTTCTGCATGAGACGGGCAACGCTGGCAAGAATGAAGGGAGGGACATGATGTGTCTTAAGTTTCAAATCATCCCTCTATCTTCTAAGCGGAAAATAGATTATTTCAAAACAAGAATGGAAGCCAGGAAAGTATTTAAGAAGCTCTGACTACAATCCAGGGTGATACCTTTAACTAGGGTACTAACAGCAGAGGCTTTGAGAAATGGCCAGTTCTGGATTTAGATTGAAGGTAAAGTTGACAGGATCTACTGTTGGATTGCACAGGGAATGGGAGAGAAAAGGTCAATCAAAAACCAAAGAAGATTCTAATGTTTTCAGCCCAATCTGGTGAAAAGACGTAACTGCCAGTTTTTCCGGTGAGGCAGAGTAAGTTTGGCAAAAGGACTGTAGGCAGAACAAGGTTCACATAAGGGTGAGGGAATCAGGGAGTTGGTTTGGGATATGTTCCTTCCTACGGAGGTGTCTGGTAGACATTCGAATATATGAGTGTGGAATACAGGGGAGGGGTTCAGGTGTAGGTGCAAATTTGTAAACAGTCAGAATAGGTTTTTAAATCTGTGAGGCTAGATAAAATCACTGGGGAAATGCAAGTAGTGGGAAGCTGAAGGACTGAACTTTGGCAGAGTCCAACACTTAGAAGTGGTCATAATGGGTAGAAACTAGTGAAGGAGATCAAAGTGACTATGTAAAATTATCAATGGGATTACAAAGAAAATCTGAACAGGTATTGTATCTAGTACACTTACCGTGCAGTAGCAGCCATGTCTTCAAGATTGCTTACCCATAAAATGTTCTTTAGAAATGTTATTGAACAAGTGTTCTGAATTCTGACAAGTCACGAAAACTCCCAGAAGCCTGTTTAATTCTTCTGGCAGCTTTACAAAGTAAGTACAAATTAGGAGAACTAAGACTCAGAAGAGTTTGTACAAAGTTACAAAATAATGAAAGGGAGAACAGGGATTCCAGCTCATTCTGAATAATACCGTACAATAGCTGATATTTATCAAACGCATAATAATATGTTCCAAGCACTGAGCAAATGTTATTTTAATTACTTCTCACAACAATCGAGTAAGATAGATACTTGTGTTACTTGAATGAGGAAGTTGAGATTCAGGAAAGAGCCCTAAGCCAAGTCTCACAGTCAGTAAATATCATACCTGCGATTAAATTCCATATCAGTTTAAAATACAGCCTTCTTTCTTAACAGGAACATCTTAGAGTCAGAATCCTCCTTTTGTTCTTCCTACTTGTCCCCTTGACTGCTTCCTGCGCTTCATTTCTTTCTAGAGTGATATTACCTTACCTGCAAAGGCCATTCTGATATCTATACAATGAAAATGGTAGAACAGCCAACCCCAAACAGTACCACCCCCAAAAAGAAAAAACAACTAAAAACAGTTTCTTGTAACATTCTCTACTTCAGAGAGATTTGAATAAGTTCATTAAGACAGGAAGCTAAGTGTTTTTCTGTGGTTTTTGTATATGTGAGAGAGAACTAGATGTTTCCCATCTCTTGAGCAAAGTTTTAGAATTATGAGAAGAAGGTGAGATATCACGTAAGCCTTTTATTTAAACTGTTAACCATCAGTGTGGTATATTGTTCCTGGTAATAGAAGAAGATGATTCTATTTCTTAGAAAAGGCAGAAATCCACATGTGCAGGTCTTGAGAACATTAAAATAGAAAATTACAAGTTTAAGATTTAAGTTCTGGTTCTCTTGCTCCTAAGCAATGTGGCCCTGGAGACTTAACTCCTTTGAATCTTTGTTTCTTATCTGTAAACTGGGTTTAAAAATACCTGCCTTGATCTACTCAAAAGAGGTCAAAAGGGAAAATGAATGTGAATCTGCTTCATAAACTGTTAAGCATTATGAATACAAATATACGTATTTTGGGTGTCGGTTTTGTCATATTATGGGGCCATCCCCATACACTCTGTGATTGTTTAAGACTCTAAAAAGTCAGACAGGGACAAGAGTAAACTAGTTGGAGATAAGAAAAAGGGGACTCAGAGACAAAAAGATGAAGAAATGGAATCAGGAAGACTGAAGAGAGGAAAGGAGAGAAGGAAACAGAGGAGAAGGAAGAAAAACCTACTTAATCTGAGCATGACTACGAGCCTTTTATTCCAGTCCTACATGTCCCTGGACTGAGCTTCTGGTAACCTGCAGGACTGTATGGCACTCTTTTTGCCATCATCCTTATTATCTATACCTGTTATCAACAAAGTGTTTGATAAAAGCATTCCCATGAAGTCAGGTAGTATTTAGAAATGCTAGTTTAATGTGACAAGTGTTATGACTATTTCAGAGAAGGGCAAAGAGATGTGGGTGTGTGTTTTATATGTGCGTGTATGCTTGTTTGTGTGAGTATTTTTAAATCTCTACTTGTGAAATTATTATAGCATCAAAACTATTTTATCAGGAGGAGAGAAGATGGCTCCAGAGTCCCTAATTTGTTCCTGTTAATCAGTCCTAATGTTGTCTTTATGAATAGATTTTTTAAAGGAATACACTGTGGAAACAAAGCTAAGGATTCTTCTCTATATATTCTTTACTTCTCTTTAAAATTCCTTTAAATGAGGTAGAAGAAGAGTTGCATTCTATGTCCTGTTATGAAACTGGGGTCAAGATGATGCTTAGGTACCCAGCCTACAAAGATATCCAGTCTTTGATTATCATTGAAATCGTGTTCTCTTTATTGCTCACTCTCTGTTTCTGTATCGGAAAATGTACTCTTAGCTTCGAGTACCCACTTCGCTCTAACTTTACTCTTGCTCAGATGGAAAGATAACCCAGCAATGCCTGTGGGGCTGATATATGAGGGAGTGTCCACAGAGCCCCTGAAATACTCTGGAGGGAGTGCTGCTCAGAGCACAGTGCTTCACGCCTTTGATGAGTTCTTGGGCATTCATCACAGCAAGGAAAGTGGTAAGTCGGACGTTTTTCTTTTTCTTCTTCTTTTTCTTTTCCATAACAAGGAAGAAGAGCAGAGGTGTTTTTACAAATTGATAAAAACCAAGCGTAACTTAAAATGTCACAAAGTCTATACTTTTCCAAATTACCCAGGAAACGGTGTGCCTGCCATACTCGTATGTTCTTATGTCATCAAGTTAATATCAGATCTCAGCAGGATATTGAGTTTCACTTCCCAGTCTTAAAACAGTGCTGTATTTCCAGCTGTGCACTGCAGTTTTGTTGGGATCTTAGGTGGTGGCTTCCTTTCTCTAAAATGGGAGAGAGCTGTGGGGTTTGAAGGGAGTGGCGCGTTGTCAACAAGTCTGGGGAGTGCTGGTAATCGGCCTACGCTCCTCCTCAAGAGCCCTTCATCTGGAAGCGGTGCCGCCTCAAGCCAGTTCTATTTAGACCAGAAAGGGGAAGGGCTAGCGGTGTTAGAAGCTTGAAATTGCTCATTTCCTTACCTGCCAGCCTTGAGCCAAATGTTCAACAACTGCCAAAAGCACTTCACAGTACTGTTTTCAAGATGAATTAGAAGAAAACATAAAATAACTGCAACCTGGTGTCATAGGGTCCAGTCTCATCCACAGAAGTCAGTTCTGTAGAACCATGGTAACTTTTCACAGAGTTAGGCTTGGTAATGTGAGTGTTTGACTTACCATGCATCATATTAAATGCATAATGGATTTTCTAGAAACAATTTATCTAAACGTTCTATAAATATCTATTAATTAGATTTTTATACAACTTGACTTAGAAAGGCCACTATGAAAAGAGTTGTGCATTCTTTATCTTCTTGCTCTTATAAATTCTATTATTTTCTTCTTCCTTAGCACTCCCTCCAAAACAAAACATTTAAGAAACAAAATTCAGCAGATTATCTAGCTACATAGTTTAAGGGTTTATGTCTTACATTTGTAACTATTCTAGCAGAGTGACTAGCAAGATACTTTGCTCACATTTGATAAATTATAAACATTTTGATACACTGGCTGATAGATACAATTCCAACTCAGCTATCTGAGATGTGCTTGCTTCTTATTCCCTTCCCCAACTCCTGTCACTAGTCACGAGTGTGCATCTGAGTCTTTGAAGTCTACTAGCAAAAGAGCCAGCAAAGTAGATTGGATAGTTAGGAGGACAGCAATAATCTTTGTTGTGTTGATGTTTGGAAAAGCAGACAGGTTCTCTTACCTTTCCATGTGGAGCTAAGACATTGTTCCGGGTTGTTTCTTTCAGGTGACTTTCTGCTCAGAATGAGGGACTACATGCCTCCTTTTCATAAGGCCTTCATAGAAGAAATACAGGCAGCGCCTTCGCTGAGGCATCATGTCCTGTCCTCTGGAAACGGCTCACTTCTGACAGCATACAACCAGTGTGTGGAGGCCCTGGCAGAGCTGCGCAGCTACCACATAACTGTGGTGACCAAATACCTTGTCACAGCTGCCGCCAAAGCAAAGAGCAGGAAGCCAAGCCATCTCCCTGGGCCACCTCAGGCCTTAGAAGAGAGAGGCACAGGAGGGACTGCAGTTCTGAGCTTCCTGAAGAGTGTCAGGAATAAGACCTTAGAGGCGATCCTCCCGCAAAGTGGTTGAGAGACAGCCTTCTCGCCAGCAATGGAAAAACAGCAAACGTCCCACTTGAGTGCAGATGGGCATGAAGAATGAGGGTCCGTGTTCTGTCAGAAATGATACAAAATCCACCTCAGTCCTATTCATGTTCCTGCTCCATAGAACATCATCTCCTTTGTTGAGACCTGTTGGTCTTCACAGAGGAGATTTTTTCATGGCCAGAAATTCTCCTTTCTTTACCTGATTGCTGGCTAATCACAAACAGCTTTGGACACTCCCTCAGTGAGAACCCCACAGGGGGATAAGAGGATCCCTACTCTATTTGCAAAGTGATTGAAAAACAATCTAAATTTCAGAAACCAAATAACATTGCCTGTGGACAGATCACCTTGTAGATTTCTTGAAATAACAAATTAAACATCCATGCATTCACTCACTTAAAATGTATTAAGTTGCTACTGAGCCCTGGCTTAGGAATATGGACCAAGATTTCTGTGGCCCCAGTGCAGCCCTCGTCTCCCTGCTTGTGTTGTTTGGTGGTGGGAGGCTGGAATGCTCCCGTGGAGATGGGAAAAAGAGGAGGCTAACAGTGAGACTTGGAGTCCCCAATGCAGAAGTGGCTGGTTAAAGGCATGGGAACGGATGAGGCTCTTCCACGTGGCTCATAAATTTTCAATGCTATTTTAGTTCCCTTCTCTATTTTTGGAAGAACAATTCTTTCTTCTTTCACTGAGTCTGTATTTGTAAAATGAATTAATTGACCCCTTGGAAGTAAATGAGTACAGTGGGAATAAAGAGTAAATTCATGTGTTTACAAGGTCTCATTCCACCTGACAGTACGAAGCTAGAAAACTTTAATCTCTTCTATTTAGGATAAACTTCACTAATTTAGACTTGCTTCCCACTGTGTGCACATATATATCCGGGATAGTATGTAAATTTCATGGCACTGATCTAGCATTGCGGCATCAGGAATAGATACCTGATCATGAGGAGCAGCTTCTGTCCAAATTAGTGTCTGATAAACAGCTTCCTTCTCCATATATTGTAGATACTGGTCAAATGGAACTTGCAGTATGTCTTATCCTGCCTAAGGGACCTTTCAGATTTGTCATCCCTCAAAGTCCTATCATGCCACTTAGAAAACCACTTGATGACTTCCCACATCCCCTGGGAGTATTGGGAGAATCCAGGATTGACTCAAAGTGTCTGCCCAGCACCTACTGCAACTATCCTCATTCTGTAGTGCCATGGTGGTGTGTGGGGGTGGAGGAGGGGACTTTGGACCCTTGTCAACTCTCAGGGCCCTTGGTAAGAAGTCATGAACCAGTATCTCCCACTTGGGGTACAAGGAGGGCTCTCATTTCCTCAGTCCTTTGAGGGCTTGGTCTGGCAAAAATGAGGGAGACAGACCATGAGGGGTAAGAGCTTCTAGTCCGGATGGGAAAAGGGAAAATGCTGGATCTGACAACGTCCTCTCTGCTTTCTGTTTAGGTCAAGATCTCAGCTGGAAGACCTAGGCTGTCATAGCTCAAAAAGCCTTTCTCTCCATGTGTTCTCCCTGTCCTGTGTTTGAAAAGTCTGTTATGAAACTCAGAAAATGAGCGTGGATATGCTTACTTCTCTCGGGTTTGTTTCTCTAACTGCCCTACCTTGGTATCAATTAACCCAGACTGTTTTAACTGCCCAGCCTGGGTATATGCCATGGTCCAAGGAGGTAGATCGAGTGGACTAGGTTGGGGAGTAAGATAGAAGCACATTGGCTAATGATTCAAAACATTGTCCCAATATCTTTCTCAGGTAAAAATAATGTGACTTTTAAAATAAGATTTGTGTTTGAATTTTGATGTCTTCATTTTTTAAAACAATGTGGCTTTTGACCAGCTTCAGAAAATCATGAATCCTCAGCTTCCTATTTATCATAAAATCAAGATAATCAGATTGGTCTTGGGGTGGATATAAGTAACAGAAGGGATAGTTCTTGGCAAGAAGGGTAAAGCCAATAAAAGTTTATTTGGCTGTGAGGTACAGCTCAAAGCATAAAAAAAAGAATGCTATTTCTCAAGCTTCCTGGAATCACAGAGTCTGCATAGTAGTAAAACAACCATTTATCATTTGTTGTTTGAGATACTACAAAGTAGAAAATGACAAAAGTGTGGGCTTAAAGAGTTGAAAAATCTGGATTTGTATCCCAGCTTTGTCACATTTTATAATGATAAATTGTTTAATCTTTCAAAGCCACAGTTCACTCACTTGTAAAAGAAGGAACATTGCAATACTGTGTGGAGCAAGAATATCTAGAGTCAGTAATGAAACAGTGGTTATTATACTTTTATTTTCATATATATATATATATAGCCTTGAACTCGAAGAAACCATGTCTAGGGGTTCCTAAAACCAGAAGGGATGGTGCTGGAGTTAGCTTTCTATCTCCTTGTTTCCCTGTACTTGGAGGAGGGAGGGAGAGAGAGAGAAAGAGAAAGAGAGAGAATGTGACCTTAAAACAAGCAAGCAAGCAAAGCAAGATAGAACCTGGAATTTTCTTGAAATAATGTAGGCACATGTGGGGAGTAATAATTATAAGACCTTTGGGAACTTAAGAAAGGATGACAGTCACTTCAGGCTTTAAATCTAGATTAGTACAAAATGAGGCTCTGATTTGTCCCTCAAAGGACAGGATTGTAAAGAATCATCCTAAATGGTACACTTTCAACAGAGGCAAGCCTACTCAAAGAGACCACAGAGCTTAATTCAGAGCAGACTTTTTATAAATACTAAATAAGTGAAAAACCAGATAGAATAAATGGGGTGGAAAGAGAGATTTAATAAGTTTTTTTTCTTTCAAAGCTTTCAGATATATATATAGTCATTGCACAAGGATGATATAAATTCAAACAACTGTATTTTATTTTCCAATGAACTAAGTTTTAATTCATGTGTCAAGGTTTGATTTCTTGGGCCAGTGAATTCCATTTTTGGTTACATAGTACAGTATTGCAAGTAAAGAAACCAGTACAGAAGAAAATACATTTTTTTCTCAGATTTCTAGGGATAAGAGGTGTGTCCATATCAGTAAAAAAAAAAAAAAAAAAAAAAAAAAAGACTTTCTAATAGTAGAAATAATTGTATGAGTATTACTATATGAGGGTACTACTGCAAGTTTGAAGGAATGGCAAAAGAATGAGCTTAGAAACTAGACACATGCATGTTTGAACTCTCACTCTGCTATTTACTTACAACATAAGTCATTCAACTTGCTTAACATTTCTGCATCATAGTAATCACATGTATAAATGAGGGTAATAATGGCTACCTTGCAGTGTTTTTGTGAGAAGTAAAGCCAATGTGTGTTTTTTAGCCAGCAGGTTCTGAGTAAATGGTATTACTATGATGATGTTGTATGTTCCCAGATTGCCCCCTTGATCTGAATAAGAAAACAACTGTAGAAAAAAGAAACAGGAAGAAAAGGGAAAACATGCTCTCTCCCACTCTATATGTTTTGAGGAGAATGACGAGGTCAACAGATATGCAACCAAGAAGTGCTACAGAAACCATTTTCTTAGGGCATGTGCGGAATAATATGTGTGTATGTGGTGGCAAGATAGAAAATTATGACTGAGAACAAAGAGGTTGCCAAGTCAGCCCAGAGTCAGACTCTAGGATTGGTTCCCCATACTCTAGGATTTGTAATTCTTTTTATAATGATAAGAACCAAGAAAGATGCTGTCATGGGATTATACAGGGTCCGGCAGAAGTAATGCCTGCTTAAGTGTGGTGGGTAGGGCAATAATGTGGGTGTAATAATTTGTAGTTTTAATTTGAATATTTCATCTAAAATGTCATATGGTGTGCTTAAGTGTGGTATTGTTATGTTACAGAATTATATGCTTATGATTTTGTAATAAAAATGGGGCATTATTTGTGCTGGACCCGGTATTTTAAATGTATCTGGATATAATCAGAACCAATTATAATGTTTTACACATAGTAGTTTCACAATAACTATAGAATAAACCAATGCTCAGATTGAGTGAAACAGTAGCAAGTTCTGCAAATTCTTGCTTTCAGAAAATAGTTTCTTTCAGGTTACTCAGACTCACTGCCAGGGACAAGTGGAGGTGGAGGGAAATTCATGTTTTCTTCTGAGCTTAGGAAGGTTGAATCTTCAATTATGGTAGAGGGCCAGTCCTACAAATAGTTAGAGCATATGCCACTTAAATATTCTATTTGGTTTTTTTTTTCTTTTTAAAAAAATGTTCAAGTCGAAGTTTCACAAATTTGTGCTAAGCTATAGATTCCTTATCAATGCCTTGCAATTATTTGAGTTTCCTTAATTAAAGATTTGTATTAGTTTGTGTTCTCCAGAGAAACAGAACCAATAGGGGTGTGTGTGTGTGTGTGTGTGTGTGTTGAGGGGTGGGGCAGAGAGAGAGGAGATACTTATTTTAAGGAATTGGCTCATGTGATTATGGAGGCTGGCAGTTCCAAAATCTGTCGGATAGACCAGCAGGATGGAGAGTCAGGGACAAACCAATGCTGTGGTTCAGGTCTGAAGTGCCAACTGTTGGCAAAATTGCTTCCGGCCCAGGGGGAATTCAGTGTTTGTTCTGTCAACTTTAACTGATTGGGTGAACCCCACCCACATTATGGAAAACAATCTACTTACTCAAAGTCCACCAATTTAAATGTTTATCTTATCTAAAAAAACAAAAACAAAAAACACCAAAACAAACAAACAAAAAGAAAACACCCTCACAGAAACATTCAGAATATTTGACCAAATATCTGGGCATCGTGGTCCAGCCAAGGTGACATATAAAATTAGCTGTCACAAGCCTCCTTGAGAAGATCCTGAATTAGGGTGTTATGGTATCTGACACATACCTTCTGTTGGAAAAGAAGAATTCTCCTTTGCAAAAATGGAGAGGACACAAAAATGGTGCAGATTATAGCTATTGCTTATAAGATGCCTGAATGGGATGCAGCAGTGGTTGCCTAGAAGCTACCAGAGAGAAGTGAGAATGCCATGAAGAAAAACCCAACCTATAACTCGTATGTGGAATCTACTGAACAATATAAGCAAGCAAACAAAAGAGAAACAGACCAGACTGATGGTTGCCAGAGGGGAGAGGGGTAGGAAACTGGGGGAAAAGGTGAATAGCTTCAGAAGTACAACGAAAGAGTCACAGGGATGTATGTTACAGCATAGGGAATATAGTTAATAATGGTGTAATAACTGTATGGTGCCAGGTGGTACTGAAGTATAAGGGGGAACATTTTGTGAAGTATATGATGGTCTATCCACTATGCTGGATACCTGAAACTAATGCAAAATAATTTGAATATAAACTGTAACTGAATAATAAAAATATGAGAAAGAGTTTTATACCAAGTGATCTATGCAGAATGAAACCATTGTCTTCTTAATAAGAGTAACAACCCACTGCTCTGAGGTTGAGAATATAGGGTCAATCTTTACCTGGAAACAGAGGACAGGGCCTTGAAGCCTAAATCCCTGTACACAAGATTGACTTTCACTTTGGCTGCCTCCACCAGCTACTCCTGCTTGTGACAAGGGAGAGCTGATTTCTGTTTATCCTGTGCTCACATCGTCCAGTCCAGCTAGGATTGATTTGGTAATTTTTGAAAATTTTATTAAAGATTCAGCAATGAGTTTAAAAGCGCATATGCAAAAATGAGTCACAGAAACACCAGCTAGATGTCATGGCTCTAACATATCATGCTCATCCTGTGGGGCTCACGGGCCCTATCGTGATTTGG